GAACTGTAACACTTGAGAGTTTATCTGAGATGACAGGAGGTTTTTTATTGCGCAGGAGCTTTTAGAACTGACAGTTCTGCTCGTTGAACTAGACCTGAAAAGAAAGAAGAGCTTCTGTTTCATCACCAGCCAGGAAGGATTTAAGGATGAAATTCTGCCATAAATTAAAAATCTCATCCCACTCAAGGAGAGCAGCCCTCTCCCTTGTGTGCCTCTCTTTAGTCCTTCCTCCAAGAGCCCCAGTGAATCTCTGATTTCCTGCTCTGTTTTTCCCATTTTTTTTGGTAGTTTTTGAAATCCTAGATTTTGAAATCCAAATTCCACCTTCAGGAACAAGGAAAAATGGGAGGGTCTTAGTTTAGATTGGAAAAGGGGGATTTAGCAGGTAATTCCTATATCTTCAGAAGCACTTCCTTCAATCTTTAACAGCCAAACTTTCTCTCTGTTCTTTGCAGACCATCCCAAAAGCATTTTCTGGTGTCCAGGAGAGTTTGGGAGCGGGGATGGATATAAATAAAGTGAATATTTCACTCTCTGTTTGAATTAGTGAGGATTTGGAACAATCCCATCCTTGCACAATTTATTAAATTCTCATTTTTGGCATAATTTGGTACATGAGGCGTGTGTGACTTCTCCTGGCACACACATCATGTACCTTTTTAATGAACTAAACCATTTCTTTAAGGAAGTATCTCTTGGGTTAGAAAACAGTGAAAAAATAAATAAACATCCTTAGATTTAAAAAATCAGGCTTGAAGGTATTTAGGCCTATAAATGAATGACCTATAAATGAATGACTTATTTTATAGAAGTACTGGCCAGTTGTGGCTTTCACAAGTGAAAAGTGAACAGAAATTCTGGAGCCCAGAAGTTCCTAGAATCAGTTCATTTACTCAGGCACAAGCACAAACCAAGGTGAGATCCCTATTTTCTAAAGCAAGTGAATGAAATATAATTAAGTTATATTATGCCTTATGTTCCACTTTTGGAAATAATAACCTGTGAGATCCTTTTATAGCTGCTCAAAAAACTTCTTATGTTCCCTGATCTATTTTTTCCTCCCAGATTCCCAACCCCTCAGTATCCCAAATCCTCCACCATGGTGGTGTGATAGGAAATGTAGGAAAAACGTAAGAAAAGGCAAAAAAGAAAGGGGAAAGGAATCCTTCAAGTAGCAGCTGATTTCTTTGGGATGTTCCCATCCCTGCTTTTCCCTTTTCCTCCTCCTTTCCCCTGTTCCCATCGTGACTGTGCTTTAGGAGATGGAGGAGGCTCCTGGTAATTGGTTAATCAGCTATTTTCAATTCAATTCCTGGCTGTACTTACCATGGAAAATTAACAGTCCTTGCATATAAATATGACCCCTACTCCTGGATTAATTTGATTATGTGAGAATCTCAGTTTTCATTTAAAAATAATAACTTTCTGGCTGCTCTGATGAAACAAGTTTGGATATGTAATCTAAATATTCCCTAATGGCTTAAAAAAAATCAAAAGACAAATATGAAGAACATATGAATCTCTTGTTAATAGAATTTAAATGTTCTGAAATCTTTGCTGTGATTGCTAGAGATTGAATATTTTGAGACCAGAAAATTCCTGATTTTCATTCACTGCTGGATAAGCATTCTCTGAAAGCCAAACCTTTTTTAAGCGTCTTCATTTGGGTCCACAAAAAGAGAAGTGATGTTCATTAAATGACTGAGGGTATCTTAACCCCGAGTTCTTTAAATTTCCCTGAGCTTGTAAATCTGTTTGGGACCTAAGTCAGGCTAGTTTGAAAGGAAATATTTTTTACAGAACTTTCCCATTTGAACATATTTCATTGTTGCCTTTATCTATCATGGGTGTGATACCATCAACCCATGGAACAGGGAGGATAAATAAAATGCATCCTAACAAATTAAAATGTGCCAGAGAACAGGTCTGGGCATTGGAACTCGATTGTCCACGCTGATAAATTGCTGGGATAGGATCAAACCTGATTTCAGCCAGGCTAATTAACTCTTGGATAGTTTGTAGATAAGAACTTTCTGTTTGAGTGGTTTAGTGGTACAGACTCATGGTGAGGGCAGCAGGGAGGGAGATGGTTCTAATTGGCCTCATGAGACCCCACCTGCAGAGCTGCCTCCAGCCCTGGGGCCAGCAGCAGAAGGACCTGGAGCTGCTGGAGAGAGTCCAGAGGAGGCCACAGAGATGCTCCAAGGCTGGAGCCCCTCTGCTCTGGAGCCAGGCTGGGAGAGCTGGGGGTGCTCACCTGGAGAAGAGAAGGCTCCAGGGAGAGCTCAGAGCCCCTTCCAGTGCCTAAAGGGGCTTCAAGAGAGCTGGAGAGGGATTTGGGACAAGGGATGGAGGGACAGGACACAGGGAATGGCTTCCCAGTGCCAGAGGACAGGGATGGATGGGATGTTGGGAAGGAATTCCTGGTTGTGAGGGTGGGAAGGGCCTGGCTGTGGTTGCCCAGAGAAGCTGTGGCTGCCCCTGGATCCCTGGAAGTGTCCAAGGCCAGGCTGGATGAGGCTTGGAGCAATCTGGAACAGTGGAAGTTGTCCCTGCCCATTGCACAGGGTTGGATTTTTTAGATGGTTAGATGGTGTTTAAGGTTCCTTCCCAAGCCATTCCATGATTCTGTGATAATCCATGTGTGGACAGAGCTTCACCTGCAGTCAGTGACTCTTTAGCCAAGGGCTGTTGTAGGACCATAGTTAGAAACTATCCAGTGAGAGGTGCAAAAACTGAGCAACGCCTAAGAAATACTGAGGATCTGCTTAGCAACTTTTGATTATCTTTCTATGTATCTTCGATCTGTGAAGGATTGTTTCTGTTAAAATCAAGAGATTCTGAGGAGTACAGGGCAGACACTCCACCTGTCTGAAACAGACTTTGCCTGAAGCAGAAATTGAATGTCAAGTCCTCCAGGATCTGTGTGGTTTTCAGTTCCTACTGGCTCTTTTCATCAGTGTGTCACAGGAATCTCTCAGGTTTAGCATGGAAAATTTAGAGTTTTGGCAGTTGATGATGGAGCAGCATTTGGAAGTTTTTAGAGGTTGTTGTTCATGAATTTATGTTCGTGAAAATTCGGGCTGCGTGAATATCAATGAAATAAAAGTAAGAATCTATTCCTTAACTTTTCTTGGGAACCCTGAGGAGCAAGGAGATTAAAAAAAAAATGATATAGAGACATCCCTGGAAATGTTCCAGGCCAGCTTGGACGGGGCTTGGAGCAGCCTGGGATAGTGGAAGGTGCCCCTGCCCATGGCAGGAGGTGGCACTGGATGAGCTTTAAGGTCCCTTCCAACCAAACCATCCTGGGATTTGATGATCCATGTCCTTCTAATTCAGCTTTTCTGTGCCCAATAATGGATTAACTCCATAAATTGACAGTATTTGGGTGGAATGTGCTGTTTTCAGCCCCAGGAATCTGAAATGAACTCACAGCCAGTCCAGTGCTCATTGGAAATCTCTCCATGGCTCTGTAACACCAGGTTTTATCCTACTTACTGCAATCCCTTGTCTCTGGAATGACAATGAGCTTGGAAAAGTAATTTATTCTTTCTCTTGGCAAGCTACAGGGATAGTCCTATTTTTTTTTCTCAATCCATGGGGCTAAAGTATTCCTGATTTTCTGGATTCAGCCAATCCAAATTGTAGGTGAGAATTAAAATATTTTCACATGGAAAACTGTTCTGTAAAAAGCCTCAAACTGGGACATTCTTTACTTCTCCTTGGGGAGAGTTGTTGTTACTTATACATTGCTATTTAGCTGTTGTTACTTTCTTCCTAAGGTTGAATGTGTATTTTGTTAAGGCCCATTTAAATTTGGGGTTTTTTGGGTTTATTTTTTACTATTTAATGCATCTGTGCAGGAAATACTGGAAAAAAATAGTGAGCCAAAGTATGAATGACAAGAAAATGAATCATTTTATCTGGCTGAGATCTTAGAAATTAAAGTATGAAGACATTGGGAGACAACTTGGGAACTCTGAAAATATTACTTTCATTCAAGCCCGTCTCACCTCTGAAAGTTTAATTTTAATTTTAATATATTGAAAGCCTGGCCATTTGAAATGATAACTGCTTCATACATCATGGATGTCACTCACTCTGTAAATGAAGGCAGCTATCAGGGCGAGGGCAGGGTTAGTTTATTTGATCTTACAAGATGTTCTGTAATTTTTCTGACTGTTCACTCCTCTCCCGTGGCTGTAGATCATGTTGGGAATAGCAGCTACAGCTAACGAGGTTGAAACCTTGGTCATGTTACTCCCACTCTGGAGCTTCCCAACAATTTTCTTCCTAAAGCTTCTCTCTTGAGGCACAGGACAATCAATTTTCCTAAATGCCACCAATTGACTCGTGGCACCTCTTGCTCCACTTGCAGATAACCCTGATTTTCCCTTTTCACTGACTGTTGGTAAATGTTGGATGCCAGCTGGGATTAGGAATGTGCCTCCCTGCTAATGAGAAATATTGTATGCAGAGAATTCACAAGTGAGCCCACATTCCTTATCTGACCTGGTTTATTCCTCACCAGCATCAGGACTAAAGGAATTAAAATAATGCACGCATTGAGAAAACATCTTGATTTTTTCCCTGGGAAATATTTTGTGAACAGAAAGTTGTATTTTGAATTCAGGCGGTTTCATTTCTTGCAACCATTGTTTAAAATGTGGCTGAGCAGCAAAAAATCAATGTGGAGATGGCAGTGAAAAGGTTTTGAACTACAAGAGGGCAGGGTTGGATGAGATATTGGGAAGGAATTCCCTGTGAGGGTGGGGAGGCCCTGGCACAGGGTGCCCAGAGAAGCTGTGGCTGCCCCTGGATCCTTGGAAGTGTCCAAGGCCAGGTTGGATGGGCTTGGATCAACCTGGGATGGTGAAAGTTGTCCCTGCCCATAGGAATTGTTCAGGTTTCAATGGATCTGTGAGAAATAAACAATTGATTTTATGCAGAGCAAATACTCTATCACATTTTAACTTGTTTTTTTTTTTCCCTTCTAGATAAACATCATGTCAATGGGAACAGAATGGTTGAACCTTTCCCAGAGGGAACACAGATGGCTCTGTTTGGTAAGTCATCAGTTTGAAAATAAAAGCTCAAAATTCTGTGGTGTTCCTGCATTCCAAATTTCTTAATTTCAGCCTGACTCCTTTGAGTTTCAGAACCTGGGCTGCTCCTGCCTTTTTCCAATCACTGACACCAGCTAAAGCCACTGTGCATTTTGGAGATGTCCTTTATATGTCATTTCCATATAAAGAAATACACTAAAAATGTTTTTTCTTAGTTACACAAACAGAAAGTGTAAATCCTGTATTTTGTTCCCTAGAAATTCCAAAGTAATTGCTTTTTTTATGTATGATAATTTGTCTAAGATCATTCATTAGTTTAAACAAAATTCTGAAGATGATCCATGATTCTCCACACTTTAAACCATGCAAGGAACTCCAGCTGTTTGGGATCTCCTGGACTTGGAGGGTTTTTACCTTTTACATGCCCCAAACCAAACCTGCTGGTTTCTGCCTGACCTTGTGAATTCCTGTGGAATTCCTGTCAGGAACCATCAGAGCTGGAGAAGGGGCCAGCTGAAGAAGAGAAGAAGTTTAATTTCTCTTTATCTCTCTCTTTTCTATGAAAATTTCATTCTTTGAGCCCATTTTGAAGCCTTGAAAAGGTGTTTCTCCAGAGAAATTAATTACTTCTGGAAGTGATAAACATCCTAAAATGGATCAAAATCATCCTTTTCCAACCAGGATCTGAACTTTACCCAAACCTGGAAATTGTCAGAGCTCTCATTTTGGGATGTGCTGATGTAAGGCAAGCCATTGGGATGTACTGGGAAGAAAAAAGTGGATTTCTATGGCAGTTATTATTAAAATTAATTGCTACAGAGAATGAAAAATTTCCTAATGCTGTTTTGATACAGCTGAGTTGTTTACAAAGGATATATTTCTCTACTAACATGTGCAGGATGGTCCAAAGTGCCTTAGGAAATGTATTAAATTCTATTAAATATTTCTCTGTCTGTGATGCTGAAGTAAATCTTAAAGCACTCCTTGATACACATTAATTTAATTCTCCAAAAATGATCTTTTAAATTGATGATGGCAAAAAAATCTCGGTGAGTGTCATCTTTCCTGTGGAATTAATGTTGGTGTAGTTTCATGGATGAAGAGGAGAAATGGTTTGTGGGTGTCACCCTTCAGTTTCCAACATGATTTATTCAACTTCTCTTCAGAGTTCCTCCAATCCAGTGTTGCCTTTCTGTCAGTGTCTCCTTCTCTGTGGATTTTGGGAGCATAAACAAATTATTGGAGTGGTGGAATGAGTGATTGTTTCATAATTTTCTTTTGGAGCAAACAGAAAATGATTTTAACCTTTTAAGCTCCAAGGCTGAGATGGATTTGGAGATTCTTCTTTGAATTTCTTATAGCAGAAAGGGTCAGAGGATTCTGGTACAGTCTGATATTGATGCAGTTTGTGCTGTTTAGATTTTTTTTTTTTTTTTAATAAGCTCCTTTTGGGTTTTAAAAAATTTTCTGTGTCATGATCAGATCAGTGTTTGTGATGGGTGTTGGTTCTATTGTTGTACACAATTTGTAAAGAATCACAGAAAGCAACAGAATTTAATTGGAAAAATGCAAAATCGTATTAAACAACACACTTTGAAGCGTTCCTGAGGAACTCTGTAACATTCCTATCAAGCCTGGGAACTTCCATTGTTTTTCACTTGCCCTAGATTTTCCACTAGGCTGCGATTGCAAGTGTTGGGCTTAAGTGGTGAAAGCTCAGGCTGGTGCCATCTGTGCTGTGAAGGAACAGAAAACCTCCACATCCTGATTTTTGCTATTAGACCTGCTCTGGAATCATGCACAAACACAACTCTGGTGATAATCCCTGGCATTTGTTGGTGTTGGCATCCCAGTCTGGGGGGTGGGATTGGGAAAAGGGAGCTGCAGTTCATTTTCCTCCCTCCAACCCATGTGAATGGGAATGAAAGGCCAGGTTGGATGGGGCTTGGAGCAACCTGGAGCAGTGGGAGCTGTCCCTGCCCATGGAACTGGATGAGTTTTAAGGTCCCTTCCAAATGAAACCATTCCAGGATTCTCTGATTCTAAAACAAGCACTAGAAGAAGAAAACGATCAGTCGGGAATTCCTCTCCTGGGATTATTACTCATCCTGTCCATGTGTGTTCCTGTTAACAGCAAGTTCTTTGTATTTTGGGACTCTGCAAGCTCAGGAGAGAGCCTGAGCCAGTCGAGTTTCTGACTCCACCTCACCAAGACAGGATTTTCACACCCCTCTTCCAGAAAGATCCTTTAATCCTTGGGATTCACAGGGAAGAGCAGTAGTTAGAAGAGATCCTTCTTCCTGCCTAGAGAGGGTGTGGATTGCCCCACACTGGGATTATCCCAGTCTCCCTCTCTGGGGTTATCCCAGTCTCCCTCTCTGGGGTTATCCCAGTCTCCCTCACTGGGGTTATTCCAGTCTCCCTCTCTGGGGTTATCCCAGTCTCCCTCATTTGGGTTATCCCAGTCTCCCTCTCTGGGGTTATTCCAGTCTCCCTCTCTGGGGTTATCCCAATCTCCCTCACTGGGATTATCTCAGTCTCCCTCATTTGGGTTATCCCAGTCTCCCTCTCTGGGGTTATCCCCGTCTCCCTCACTGGGATTATCCCAGTCTCCCTCACTGGGGTTATCCCAGTCTCCCTCACTGGGGTTATCCCAGTCTCCCTCACTGGGGTTATTCCAGTCTCCCTCACTGGGATTATCCCAGTCTCCTTCATTTGGGTTATCCCAATCTCCCTCTCTGGGGTTATCCCAGTCTCCCTCACTGGGATTATCCCAGTCTCCCTCATTTGGGTTATCCCAGTCTCCCTCTCTGGGGTTATCCCAGTCTCCCTCACTGGGATTATCCCATCCCAGTCTCCCTCACTGGGGTTATCCCAGTCTCCCTCACTGGGGTTATCCCAGTCTCCCTCACTGGGGTTATTCCAGTCTCCCTCACTGGGATTATCCCAGTCTCCCTCATTTGGGTTATCCCAATCTCCCTCTCTGGGGTTATCCCAATCTCCCTCACTGGGATTATCTCAGTCTCCCTCATTTGGGTTATCCCAATCTCCCTCTCTGGGGTTATCCCAGTCTCCCTCACTGGGGTTATCCCATCCCAGTCTCCCTCTCTGGGTTATTCCAGACCCATTGGACACAATCCTGTGCCCTGAGCTCTGGGATGACCCTGTTGGAGCAGGGAGTTGGACCAGATGAACCAGATGACCCCACTGTGCTCCCTTCCAACCTGACCCATCCTGTGATTGCTTAAAAAGATCTGCAAAGCCCAAAAGTTGGTTGTATAGAGACAGCCAATTTGCAGTGAGTTTTCCTCTTGCTTGGATGGTTTTAGATGCACCAATAAACCAGCAGCAGAATGAAATATAATGCAGGGCTGTAAACACTGAGCCTTCCACCTGCTGCAAAACGCAGCCAGATTTCATTCCACAGCTCCCTCTCCTGCAAAACCTCCTCAAGATGCTTTTCCTAATGGTGCATTATTCATTTGATAGTGTGACTGCTTGTTTGGATCAAGGGACAGGGTGAATGTACTCAGGGATTGTTCCTGCAGCTTTCCCATCTACAGCAGAACCTCACAGATTTCAAAGGATTATTTAAATTACCTCGAGGCTCTCCTGTTGTCTGTTCAGCATCACCCAGCTGCTGGAGATGCACCTATTGTTCAGCAGGATAAAGAAATGTGTCCTTGTTTCTGCAGTGGGGGAAAAAAGCCACGTTTCAAGGGTGAGGGTGGTTCTTTAATGGAAATCTTTTAATGCTCCCCATCCTGTGACCTCGTAATCCAGCTCCCAGCTAAGATTAAAGCACTAGGGGAACATGATGTGCACAGGCACAGCCTGACTGGAGTGCTGTGTCAAAAATTCCTTATTCCCAAATTCCTTGACTGCTGCCCAGAGAAGTTGTGGACTCCCCATCCCTGGAGGTTCAAGACCAGGCTGGATGGGGCTTGGAGCAACCTGGGGCAGGGGTTGGAACTTTGTGGTCTTCAAGGTCCCTTCCAACCCAAACCATTCTGGGGTTCTGTGTTTCCATGGAACAAGTGGAACTCAATGCTACATGTTTGTGTTATGAATGATAAAGTAGAAGCCCTTCAATGAATGCCTGTCCAGAAAGTTTTCTTTGGGAGTTTTATGGCCATGGATATGTTGAGTTAAAAGTTCTTTGTCTTAAGAGACTGATTTTGACCCCAAACCTAATCAAAATCCAAATAAGGGGGGGTGATAATATTTTGAAAATAAGCAGTTTAAGGTCTAAATTCAACTTATTTACCAGGGGTAAAAAAAACCCCAAAATGCCTGAAAGCTCCAGAACATTCATGACTTCAAGAAATTAATCTTTTCCTCAGCACCATTGTAACTCTTGCATATTTTAAACACATTTAAATGCACTTCTGCATTATCATAACATCATGGAATGGTTTGGGCTGGAAGGGACCTTAAAGATCTCATTGCAACCCCCTGCCATGGGCAGGCAAATTATGCTCAGAGATCTGATCAGGTTTCTGTTGAATTTTAATCACTCCTTTTTCTTATCAGCTGCTGCTGCAAGACTCCAGTTAATCCCAGAGCACCTCTGTATTCCCTAGGATTTCTATGTCACCTGATTTCTCCAAGAGGAAGCATCATACATATGATGTGAGCATAGAAACGCTCTTATTTACCTCCAGTGAAATCTGGCAATAGCTCAGATTTGTAATTACAACACTTTTAAAATGTAGGAGCACATTGAGCTGTATTTGCTTGACATAGAGTGGCTTGTAATGTGATAATTGGTTTCTTGATGTAAACAAAGTGCAGGCAGAAATGGGATGTTAAGGAACTGATAAGGTCTAATTATGGATATTTTGGAGCTGGCAGACGGATCCAGGCCTGGTCACCTTCTGCTCTGCACTTATTAGACAGCAGCACATTCCAGTAATTCCATGGATTATGGAATTGTTATGGATTATTGTTGTGCTTTGCCTGAGTTATTGTGAGTTATTGTGTCCTGTCACAGTTGCATT